GCAGGGCGAATTTCAGGACGGATTGGTTTCTTCCGCTCTTCCTCCTCCTCTTTTTTAGCCTTTCTCTGAGCTTTGGTCTTTACAGCCTCATCAGCTTTGAGCTGCTCTTGGAAGGTGAAGGGATAATCGGCGTATTTCGGACGGCGGTTACCCAGCTGCTTCATCTCACGGTTGTACTGATCAAGCAGCGCTCTAGCCTCAAATTCTCGGTCCTCGGGCTTCGCGGGAATGGTCCCGGACGGCCGGTACCGGTCTGCGAACTTGCCCTGGATTTCACATGGAAGTTCTGAAGCCAGCTCTGGGATGATGCGCTTCCCACTACTTGACGGTAGAGCAACAAGAGGCGCGAGTCTATCGTAGCCCTTGGTAGATAACTTTACCGTTCCAGATGATACAAGAAATGGCGCTCCTGGGATTGCGGGGAAATTCTTCTTTGCAGCGGCACTGCGCTTCTTGAACTGGTTCACTGCAGCAAGCTCTTCGTCCGTGCTTGAAGGAAAAACCAGAGTCTCGCCGTCGTCACCTTTTCTCGCCAAATCATTGGGAGAGTCCGCTTGCTCCGGCTCCTCCTTCTTAGTCACACGTTTGCGTTTCTTAGCGGGAAGTTGGTCGGGAGGCGTGGCAGAATCAACTGGTGGTGTGCCGGGTGGGATTATAGGTGCCGCAGCAAGAGGCTGGTGCTGTTGCTGTAAGGTGGGCTGTTGATACGCCGGTTGCTGATACTGGAACTGCGGCTGCTGCTGCTGCTGCAGTTGCAATTGCTGAGCCTGAGGATGAGGTTGAATTGGTCGAACCGGGGCCGGAACCGCCTTTGCCTGCTGGACAGGCTGTGGAGGCGGCTGGGATACAGGCTGCGGCGTGTGCTGGTTCGCGCGTACCTGTTCAACCTTCTGCTTCGGCGCAACAGGCTGGAACGTTGGGGCAACATTGGGCTGGGCGTATTGCGTTTGTTGAGGCACAAGCTTCGGTTGTTGATAAGGAGGTGCTTGATTAGCCTGGAAGGGAGGCGGAGTCGGGTTGGAGAATGGCTGGTTTGGCTGTTGGGCATGTTGAGCTTGGAAGGAGTGTGGTGATTGTGAGTAGACTCTGTCAGGCTGTGCCTGATGCTGCCGGGGTGACTGTCCATAGCCTTGGGGAGCGGGAGAATAAGACTGGGGAATGGAGTCAAATCGCGGCTGTGGTTGTGATTGTTGCTGTTGTATTTGCGCAGAGCTTTGGTGGCCATGCTGAGGCATGAGCTGGGACTCGTTGTATTGAGACACATTGCCGTTGAACAATTGGCTGTTCTGGCCATTGTACTGGAATTGCTGATTCGCAAAGTCTGGCGTGTGGTCGTGGTTCATGTTGTCCATGTTTCCACCAAAGTCAGTCTTTCCTTGCTGGCCATACATGTCTTGAGGGAAATCATGAAGACCAGCGAGAGGATCATCTTGACCTGGGTCAGCATATGAAGGGTCCAAGGCAAAGTGGTTGTGGCCATTATGGAAGTTGCCCTGATTCAAAGCGGACATTCCATTATGGTCACTCGCTACAGAAGCGTGGGCTTGGTGAGGCGACGATCCAAAGGGATTGCTCTGAGCACCGTTGCCTTGGGGGGCAAGATGGGAGAAGGCATTTTGGTCATGGATCTGCTGGGTCCAGTCTTGAGCACCACCAAATTGATTTGATCCATTGGAGAACCCAAAGGAGCCCGGCCAGATATTATTATTATGGCTCTGAGCAGAACCTGCCTGGCCGTTGGTCTGCCAGTTCTGCATCGTGTCGGGCTTGAAAAGCCTAATCTTGTCGACCGGCAGACTGGATATGTACGTGATGGATATGGAAAGAAATGCCAAATCCTCACGAGTTCATTGGGCGGAGATGAAGTACACTGCACAGCTACGGCCAATTAGCATTTGTTCCTTCGGTAGCCGGATCGCTGGCATGTAGGCTGGGGTGGCCGAGCGTCGGATTTTATCAGACGAAGAGGCAATGAAAAGCCACCTGATTGGGTCAAACAGGGATGTGGAAGGAAGGTGGGGTGGGAATAAAATGTTTGAGCAGAGTTAAGCCGTGTTTGAGAAGGCAGATGGCAAGGAGGTATTCTCCTAGTCAAATTGGCTGACAAGGCACCTGGTGTGGGGAACAATGGGACCCGACGGCTAATTGCCGGCCGGAGACTTGCAGCTTACCTTGGTGGCAGCGAAAGATGAAGAGCGCGGCTAGGCCGAAAGCGGCGGTCCAACAGGGATGATGGTGTGGTGCTGCGCCGAACAAGACTGAATTCTGATGGGGTGGGAATGACGAAGGCGATCGTGGTGTCTTTCTGTGTCGTGTGGATGAGCTGTAACTCCAGTCAGCGATCAGGAACCGGAGTGCAACGGTCTGCGATGTATGGTGATGCGTGATGTGTGAAGAGCTGGGTTTGGCTTGAAATCTGTCGATGAACCACTTGGCTCCGGCCCAAAGATGCAGTGAGCATCCCCAGCTGGCGAAGTTGACCAAGAGGAGGCACTCGCGATTGGATGCCAAGTTCGACTTTTGCACATTAGAGACACCAGCGACGTGATCTTTCCCCCTCCTTCGAGGATTGAAGAACGCGAGCGGCCTTGCGTGCTTTGACGAATTGGATGACTGTCTTCGAAGTTTTCAGCCGCTGGAAGAAAAACTGAAGAAGCCGTGTTGAATGTTATCATTGACAATCCAGCGAGGTAGGGCTCCTCGTCTCCCCGTCGACCGATGAATGGTGAGGTGAGGTGGTCTTCAGTGTTGGGTGGTCCCTTGTTTGCAGTGGGCTTGATCCTGCCGACCGGTCGCTGTGGTGGTGGTGGAGGTCAAGGCCCGATTGAGGTGCGCTGAACAAGTCAGAGAGTCCCCTGGAGGAGACCCGCCCCCTGCATCCAACCCAGCAGGCTGAGCTGAAGACTGGGCAACAGCAAGCCCAAGCCTAGGTCCCGGTCCAGGACCAAGGCCGCGCAACAGAATCTGACCGGTGAAGTCGGAGTCCCAGGCCAGTCTGCAGAACATGCTGTGAAAGCGAGTGGGTTGATTGATTGATGCGAAGGCGAAGATTGACGGTCTGCAGCAGCATCGACAGTTTTCCGGGAGAACTGCTTCGCGTGGGTTGCCCGTTTTTGCTTGCCTTGCCTCTCTCAATGTTCCCCTCTGCACGATCCCAGCCGCCCTCCATCGCGCCGCGAAACAAGGTATTCTGCTTTGCAGAACATTTTAAACAGGAGGGTTACTCGCGTGTCCTTGTCCACATTTCCACGCGCGCCGTGTCTGCGTCTGTCTCCCTTTGATGCGATCCGACTTTGCAAATTCATCGCTGCAAAGAGTTCGGTGCGGGATGAGTTGGAATGCCATGGGTTTATCATGATTTTCACTCATACAAACATTGCCATGTCTGCGTGTCCAGAGGTACGAAGGATGGCGATGACGATTGATGGAAGTGCGCTGATCATGATGGCGGTGCTTGGAGAAGAGGTAGTGCGTGTTGGGGGGGGATGGTGATCTCGGGGGCAAGTGGTTGTTTGGGAGTTGGGGGGAGCGTAAGTTTGGCTTGGGGGAAGGTTTACCATACCCTGCAGTTCGTGTGTATGCCTCTGTCTCTCTCCCTCGCAAATATCCCGCCTTTTTGTTCCCGATCCTGAGAAGAGCTGGCCTCGCGACCTTAACGTGGTTCGCGGTATGACTTGATGGCGATCGCGCAGATTACAACATGTTGATGAATGCCCGACAGTAGGGCGAGCGAACTGTCTACCAGAAAGAATGGACAAGATGGAACGATCGCGGAGGATCTGGAAGACGACAATCAATCAGGCCAGCTAGATGCCTATTTTCGCGTTCAAAAGTATCGCGAGACGAGGAATCCGGGTGGGTCAGTGTCGCTGATGTGGTTCTGACGCGTTTTCCTGTCGCTTCTGTCCGTAGAAAGGGATGGTTTTTTCTGATGGTGAAGGAGGAGAAGCAGGATGAGTTGTCGCTGGGGAAGAAAAGTTGGTTCTTGTTCCGCTGTGGCCTGTCTAAAGGGAGGCAGGAAGGTAGCAAGTCACTTTGCGGCCGTAATTCTGAGGCATGAATTTCATGGATGGGTCCAAGCTGGGAAGGAGCCACAGGCCACGGGCATGACTTGCCTTGGCTGTGACTGGGCAGGGCCTCTCCTGCCTTCCCGCTTACGGCGGGCAGAAAATGAGCCAGTGGCTCACACAAAGCCCAGGATAGGGCCGGAGGCAGGTGCGGCAGGCGCATGCCGCTGAGACTTGCCCCAATTCAGGCACATTGCGAACCTGTGGCAGGTTAGGTACCTCTGGATTAAGGACCGTCAACACAAACACGACGGTCACTTATTCATATGGCATTCAGTTTGACTCTACTGTGTTATACATTGGTATATGGGCTACGGTTTGCATTGCTCTGGAGTCTGTACAATTTGTGACGCATCGAATGCCACATCGCCGTAGCACGCTCTGCGGAAAGAGCACCTGGTATCCGTCCGTACCTGAGTCCTGACTGCGAATACCGCTAAAGTCAAACAGGTCATCTGGGTCGAGCCAGGGCCATTCCAGCCCCTCCATTGCGCTCCCGCGTGTCGCGGTCCATCCAGATGCATCCCAGTCCCGTCCCGTTCACCGCCTTTCGGAAGACGGAGGCTCAATGGTGCCGAGCCATGACATCGTCCAGTCCAGGTTGCCGTAAGGTACCCACCCCAGCACAGAGCACTTCACCTCACTGGCCAGCGGAAGCATCCAGGAAATGTGGCTCGACGGCTTTTGAGGACACCGATGCTGGAGCCGTGTACGTACCTACAGCATCACAAGGCGCAAGCACCTCGTCAACTTCCAGCTCTATCGCAACAACCGATTTCAGTACAATCGATTGAGGCTGTAGCGTAACTCCTGCCATAGCTACTGCTCGTCTTGGCATTGGCTTTATGCGACCTGTCCACTCGCATCCCTAAGAGATACCAGCTCCTCCAAGCTAGCTAGAGCTGTGAAGGTACCCCCACCATCACCATCGCCATGGCAGCGAAGGGCCACTCGCTGCGCGATCGCCAGATCTGTACGTCGCATGCCCATTCTCTCAAGCTCTTTTTTGTGAGCTGTATGCTGATTCGTATTGTGTCGTAGCGGCGCTCAAGAAGCTCCTCAGCTTGAACGACAACATCAACGAGAATGAAGCCGAAACTGCCCAGACCAACGGCGGCGCACTTGGTCCCGCCGGTACCATCATAACCTCCGATGGCGATCCCCTTTGGAAGGTCCTCGTATTTGACGACCTTGGCCGGGATGTCATCAGCAGCGTGCTCCGCGTTAGCGATCTTCGCGCGCTGGGTATCACCATGCACATGTACGGCAAGCCGTCATCGCCGCGCCCCGCCTTGATATGCTAACACAGCTACAGGCACATTGGATCTTCTCGACACGCTATCCCAGACGTACCGGTCATCTATCTTGTCGAACCCACGCCTCAGAACCTGCAAAACATCACGAACGACCTCCAGAAGGGTCTCTACACTCCCGCCTACCTGAACTTCCTCTCCTCAATCCCTCGACCCCTGCTCGAAGACTTCGCAGAGCAAACCATCACCGCCGGCACGTCCGACAACATCGCCAAACTGATGGACCAATACCTGAACTTCATCGTTGCCGAACCAGACCTATTCAACCTGGGCATGCAACGAGATCACACATACTGGGCGCTCAACAGCGCGGCAACACAGGATGACGAGCTGGACAGAGTGGTGGACAGGATTGTCAGCGGTCTTTTCAGTGTCATTGTGACAATGGGTGTCATCCCCATCATCCGATGCCCCAAGGGGGCTGCTGCCGAAATGATCTCCGCGAAGCTCGATCGCAAATTGCGCGACCACATCCTCAACTCCAAAGAAAACCTCTTCTCCTCCAGTGCCCGTCCAGCATCAGCAGGCACTCCGACCTCCCGCCCTGTCCTCATCATTCTCGACAGAAACGTCGACTTAATACCTATGCTTTCTCATTCCTGGACATACCAGTCTCTGGTCCACGATGTTTTGAATATGAAATTGAACAGAATCACAATAGAGACGCCTGTAGACGAGAGCAACCCTGCAAAGGGAACCACCAAAAAGGCTTACGACCTGACATCCAGCGATTTCTTCTGGGCAAAGAACGCCGCCGTACCATTCCCACAAGTAGCCGAGGACATCGATGCCGAGTTGACAAGGTACAAGGAAGATGCGGCCGCCGTGACGAAGAAGACCGGAGTGACGGATCTGGAGGACTTGCAGAACGATACCGGCGCCAGCGCGCAACATCTCAAGGCGGCCATCACTCTCCTGCCAGAGCTTCGCGAACGCAAGGCAGTGCTCGACATGCACATGAACATCCTGGCGGCTCTCTTGACCGGCATCAAGAACCGTCAATTGGACAACTTTTTCCAGATCGAGGAGGATGTCATGAAGCAAACAAAGGCACAAATAATGGAGCTTATCAAGGACAGCACCAAGGGAGACCAGCCACTTGATAAGATGAGACTTTTCGTCATCTGGTACCTCAGCTCCGAACAAGAAGTTAGTCGAACCGAGTGGGAGGGTTTTGAGAAGGCCCTCACCGAAGCTGGCGCAGACACAACGTCTCTCCCCTACATTCGACAGTAAGCCTCCCGCATATTACACGAGTTACTATGTACTGACCGCAATCTCAGAGTTCGTGCTACCACCAAGATGACGCAGCTCACCACCATCTCCAACCCTCAACAAAACCAAGCCGCCTCCTCCGACCTGTTTGGCCGCTTCTCCTCCATATCCAACCGCCTCACCGACCGTCTCAAGGAAACCGGTGTGCCCACCGGCCTCTCATCCAACTTCGAGTCCCTCATCGGCGGCATCAAGAACTTCCTTCCCGCCAACCGCGATCTCACCATCACCAAGATTGTCGAGTCCATCATGGACCCCTCTACCGCCGCGAGCTCAGCCATCGCCAAGACAGAAAACTATCTTTACTTCGACCCCCGCTCCGCCAACGCCCGCGGCACTATGCCCCCGCCAAGCTCCATCCGCGCGGGTGCCGGCTCAAGTGCTCCGGGCGGTCTGCCAGGACAGAACATGGGCCAGACTCCCGGCAGCGGCGCCAGCTTCGGCCAGCGTCGTCAAGGTTACTCGGAGGCCGTCGTCTTCACCGTTGGCGGAGGCAGTATGGACGAGTACGGTAACCTACAGGAGTGGGTCGAGAGAACGGGCGGCGACCGCGCCAGGAGGCGGGTTGTGTACGGTAGTACAGAGATGCTCAACGCTGATGAGTTCATCAAGCAGGAGCTGGAGAGGCTGGGCAAGGAGGTGGCGTCTTAGCCGCGGGTGAGCAGTCACGACAATCAGCTAAGCGAGTTTTCTCCATTGTATCTACCTATACTACCTTACTGCTCCCTGGCTTACGAGTTGAAAAGAGTAAATACGATTCCCAGTGTCATTCATGTTCTTGCGGTCTGTGATGCGCTCGGCTTGAGATATGATCCTAGCAATCCGCTGGCCGCTGTCCTCTGGCTTCTGGCTTCAAGTACCAAGTTCCTGAGCTCTGCCCATGTTGATGACCTAGATTCGTCCGCTGAGTTGGTGATCCGTGGATATTTCCAGATCAAATATTTGGCTGTGTGGGACTTCCTGCAATGGCTGCGCCAAGCTCAAACGAAGCTACTTAGATAGCCAAAGCATGACTGCCAACCATCAGTGATGACACAACCCATAGCGTCTATACGCTCTCTACAAGCCTATAAAACATGAATACCCTGCAATTCTTCAAGAGGCTCTCGTTCTAGCCGCAGACAATAATTTAAGAGTTTTGCTAGTCGGGCAGTGTCATTTTCTTATCCGGGCAGTGTTCCCTATGATCTAGAAATATAGAGAGAATAATAGTAGTTATAATAAGGATAACGACGAAAGACGACGACGACGATAACGATAACGATAAGAACGACGACGACGACGACGATGATAATAACGACGATAACGACGACGACGATACTAAAAATAATAGACGATGATAATAAAAATAATAGACGACGATAATAAAAATAGTAGACGACGATAATAAAAATAATAGACGACGATAATAGATATTAACGACGACGAAGGTGAGAATAGGAATTATAGTCGCTTTAGAAACAGGCCACGGATTATACACGTGTGTGTAGACACTGCCCGACTAGCAAAGCTCTAATTTAATTGCTCGGAAGCCCAAGCCGTTTGCTTTCCTTCACCTCCGGCTGAGTATCGATGGATGATACATCCATCAGAAATGGCAGCTTTGATGGCAGTGGCTATAAGTCAGTGTCCTCAAAGAACACGATGTTTTTAACTGTTCCAGTAATCCATCGATCAATGCACCAGACACGAAGGAATATTCGAACAAAACAAATTGTTCCGTATAGACACGTCACCTTATATATGTCGAGATCCCACTAAGCTTTGACGACAATGCGGCGAGATGCTCCTCAGGGGCGGTAGGGTTTTCAATGTCAGCTCCGCATCAGGTGTCGAGTATGATCAAGAGCTGCATTTGAAGAGCATGTACGGAAGATAAAGATGTGCTGCAAGACACATTCGCGATTCTCGATCATTTTGTTGATCCATCGTCAAGTCTCCGAAACCCAGAAGTGGGCGATCGACATGTCCATGTTGATGATTTCTCTGCTGCTCTGTCTTTCCCAGCTAGGGTTTCTCCATCTTTCATTCCTCTATATGTAGTATTTTCGGTGAATAACCTCGGATAAGATCAAAGCTTGAGAATCTGGTGTCAAAGGTCACGAGTCTCTGCAATCTAATGACATCACACACACGGGCTATCGTAAGGCTCTCCTTATGCTTAGGCATGCGCCAATGCCAACACCGTACCTTACAATGTTTCCAAAACACCGCTTTGAACGCGTTTCCAGATGTTTTTGTTTTTCATGTATTGATTCATCAGGCAATAGTTTACCCCCCAATCACGGCGACGGAAAGAATGAGAACCGGTTGAACCCAAGGTGATGAGGAGATGTCATTCTTAGAGACGTGGTTCAAATATTGAGGTTTCATCATGAATTATTCACCTCAGATTACCCTGCAAGGTTGGCTCAATGATGTCATTTGCTAGAGATGGGACTTTCGTGACTCGATCTACGTAAATATAGTTCTCAGGGGACGGTGTTTCCTGGATTGGTGCTGCTGAACTTCAACGTGAGGTTATTGTCTGTTGATGACGTGCCCGTCAGAACTTGTGTTCCGGTTACGTTCGATGCTCTATGAATCCTTTGAAAATACAAATCAGTAAACTCAGATATCGAAGAAAGAACTACAATGAGATTCTATGCCTGACTGGGCGTTATTGCACAAGCGCAACATGAAGCGAATCTATGCACGAGTTTGTCGGATGATTCTCATTCGAGCCGCGGAAACACATGACCGGTCTCTCGTTCTCAGTCCACCAGTTTTGTCCTCGAGTATCTCGGGTAAACAAAATTTCAAACGGCATAGTGCGTTAAACGGCAAATTTGGCTGTTAGTTGAATGCTATTGTCGTATCATTGAAGACGAACCCGGGTAGGAAGCCGACTCGCTTGCCAAGCGACAGCACTGAAGTTAACGAGGAAGATCATTGTGTTGCTCACAATCTTAGATTCAGAGGTACTTGTTCTTCTTTTAAGTCCATGCTGTTTATGACTGACACGTTGATAATAGCAATAAAAACGCACTCAACCACTGTCAGCCATTCCCTCAATTACCTTGACGGCCATGGACTATATATATGTTGAGGTTCCCTCAACCCTCAAACTTTCACGACAATGTGCCGCAGGGATGTCCTTCCGCCGATACATCGAGTGGGAACGCTTTGCGACATATGGTAATCTGAGGGTTGAGATATGTTCGGATCTTAGCGGCGACATCCAGCTGAATAAGCTGATTTTCATCAGCGTCGTGTAACGCTCTATGAATAGTACGACGGCAATACAGCAACGGAGAAGCCGCCAAGAGACAGCCATTTCGCGCCAATTGAGGCGACTTCTTCCAATAAGAGTATACAGAAGAAATGCCGTTCATTTCGTCTGCCCTTTACGTACTAAGCAGCGCATGTGTCTGACCATTCATGTAGGTCAACATAGCTTGATTTTACCTATTCTTATAACCCCCTCTTCCCCCTCCTCCTCACGACACCATCGATGATCCTACGCTGCATGCACTAATTTCTACAACGGAGCTGTTTCTAGTATTAAAGCATATTAGAAGTGACAAGTTGGTTGCTACAACAATGAGGAGGTAAAGGAGGAGGGGGAAGCGAAGCGAAATGGTTTCGAGAAAGGGGTTATTCTGGTTCATCTGTCAGGGGAACACAACCAGCTCATAGCCATGATATCGGCTCCTAACTCTTCAGCTATGATTCGCCCTCGGCAGGAATGTATTCCGAGTATACATGACGTAAATAGAGGAGTTGGTGGACGCCAGGCTGAAGGAATCGTCACTTCTACCGGGCGTGGGACGTGTGAGTACTAATTGACGTTTGCGATGTGAACGCCAATCATAGCACAATGAATTTGTATCCCCTAGGTAGATACTCGAACGTCATTTTCGTTGAGTGGACATCGCAAGGGATGCGATCCTGCGTAAATACTCTTCATCAGCGCGAATCATAGGCAGGTCTTGCGTATATATTGCCTCCTGGAGTCTGATTAACTGTCCTCAGATGCAATTTCGTGAGTCGGGTAGCCGGAGATCTTAGCCTAAGACAACTTCCATCTGGAGAAGCTTCCGAGGTTCTAAGGTATCTTCACAGCCCCGTATGACAAAGACAGGGCTGTTCAGCTCGTCTATCAAAGTATTCGTGGTGATACTCCTGTAGTGAAGCAAGCCAGAGAGCCAGAAGACAGAACTAGAATCCCGTTGGCATATGGAACATGTCTTTGTGTTATAGTATCAAGAAACAAGAAATGTTGCCGCCAACTTCCTTCGACCCCACATCCATGCTTTCAGATTGAAAGAGCAGGCAAATTGGTTGTCAAATCACTGGGCTAGGCTTGCTTGCGAGCTATTTATACCGGCGAAGACGAGACAACCGGAGAGTGCATTATCTTAAGTCACCCACTCTCATACACCGCAATTCCCCGGAAAATGTTGCTTTTAACCTTTTCAAGGGGCAGCGTGTTGTACAAAATAATCCAATAAAAGCGTTGGTAACATGGAGAGCCAACGAGAACCCAATTGCCTTGGTAACCCTGGTAACCACCAGCAGGAATGAACCGGGCTTTCTGGACCCTTGAAGACGGCACAAAGATCCAGCAGTCTTGTTTCCTGCCGAAGACTACTCGTAAAAGCTGAGATCTCTTCCGGCAGGTATTCCAAACAGATCCTCCCACGGCAGCGGAATAGGTGGATGCCAATCTAGGCATTGGCCGCCATTGAGTGACTGATCCCAGTGACCCTTTCGCTCGAGTCGCAGCACCCGACGCCGACATTCAAGCCTTCGGGGCATTCTGCAGAGTTCACCCGGAACTATGGAGAAAGTTGATGCGACTGTTTCGGGACGACTGTGTTCAGCGCGGAAGGCTCACCAATCCCCCAATCCAGAACTATCAAATGCGCCCTCGACCCTACCGATGCCTGAGAGTTACCACCTAGAGAATCCTAGGAATAATTCATAGGTCTATGAGACCGACAAAACAATACGACTCGCTCCTATCATATTGTTTTGACTACCCCCATTATCTCGGACCACGGGTTATGTATCCCCGCCTCGGCTTTGGGACAACCTCAGTAGCTCTTTCACTCTTCGAAACGACGGTATAAATATGGAGAGCACACGTGCATGATTATGGTACCGGCCAAACAGAGAACTAGCTGCCCTTACCTCAGTCTGTATCCATGGCCTGAGTATCAAACCCAAAGAGATTCCGAGTTGACTTGATCTTCCGAATTCGATATCCTACTTCGCCACAGTCATCTGTCGTCTCTGGCAGTTGATTCGACTGAAACAACTACAGACACCAGATGAGGGCACCAGGTCTTACTATCGTACTTGAGGGAGTATGGGCTGGATACCAGGTGGCAAGGGCCACCCAGTCGTAGCCAACAGTGAAGAGCACTCCAAACTAAGAGACAGGCAGCCCTATTGGTGAGATACAACTCCCCCATGAAGTGTAGCCGAATATATACGTCCAACGAAGTCAAAGCGCATCTGTCCGCTGCATCTACAAGCCTCATATCGCAACACCGTCAACCCAGCCGTCTATAAAAAGAATGACAGGGTTCATTGAAGTCAAACTTCAAGTCTTGCGAGTTCATACTCCTCATTGGTGCTGAAAAGAATCCCGAGTGAGATTTTGA